AAGAGTAGATGTTCAAAGACGCTTCTCATGCCCAACGCTAGGATGTGACTCCACTCTTGAATACAGACTGATGTGAGCACCTCTTCTTAGAATCTTTAGGGTAAGGAACAATGCAATATATGGACACACATCACTAACATCCTGCCGAGCTATGATCCATGACTCAGTCTACAGACTCAGAAACAATGCATGTTCACTGCTTACAATAAAACACTGAAAGCCGATGCGTCGTAAGTTTTTTCACAATGCAGTATAGTTTATTGTGGAACAGGTTGTGAATGACTATGCGTAACTGTGACACTATCACCAAGTTTGAAAGTCTAATAACACTATTACTTGACACTTAAGAGCTTCATCAACTGTTCCCTGAACTTCCACCCAGCAATGGGGCACTTTATTATGGACCGTCTAATATGTAAGACGATCATGAATGTTACGGACCATATCTTCACTAATATATAACCAAATGAAAGAACACATGGTCTACACTCTTCCATTATACATTATTATAGGTTATATTCTTATGCACCTATTCCTCAATTTCAGACTTCGAATCTCTCTAATGGTTAGACTTTCGTTTTTCTTCCCAAGTTTCATGTCCGTTTTTATTATAAGTAGACAGATAACTCACTAATCTTATGGATGCTGATTAACTATGACCAGTCATAGGAAGTGAATAATGTTTTAGATTATTATGTTACCCACTGCTTTATTTTCTCACTCTGAAGATTTACAATCTTATACTCGTGCATATTCTTTGATTTTATATTTTTTCTTACCATCTCTAAACCGTATATTATCTTGTAAAATCAAAACTATGATTTAGGCTGATGAATAACTGTCCAGTTGAGACTAAAACAAGGTAATTGGGTAAATGACAGTCCTAGATTTCATTGTAAATATAAACGTACATTATTACGTAAACAAATATTACCATCCAGTTATCGAACTAGTAATTTTTCAATCAGTAATCGAATTTGAATTGCAATTAATAAGCAAGTTAATAAATGATGTAAGAAAATTACCAAGTGCAGCAAATATTATTCTATCCTTTCTGGATAGATCACGTACAGATTTGTTCGAGAAATAATATTCAGTTGCTTTACAACATAGTGTTTTTAATTCTGGAAGAGTGCCTCAATTCCAATACACAATTCCTGTCAATGCGGGCAACACAACCAAAGTGTGAGAGTCAAATCAATATGGCTGCCTACGAAACTACGTGTCGACTAAAACAACATAAATGCATGGAAACTTCATTAAGGCGTAAGAAAAAGAAAAACTATAATAAAATACAAAGGTTACCATCTCAAATAAAATCAAATAGACTAACAATATGTACAACTGAAGAAATCAATAGGAATAAATTCCAACTGTATACATGGAAGGGTTTTGTCACACGAAACTATCAAAATGGAACTTACCATCTAACCAGTATCTCTAACTTATACCATTAGTTATCTTCATAGCACTGTGGTATACTAAATGGATGTCTAACCCACAATACAAAAGCTTTAACCATCTAGTTTGCTTGTAAAATGGAACTAGTAGCGATAGTGTATTACAACAAAGGGCTTAGATTAAAGCAACATTCATACGCACCATAGACGTAAGAGAGGTTAACATCACAAAAGGAGGGAGGTTGGTGTGATGAATAGAGAACTTCGATCCACCCCTGTCTGTTGGGCAGAACATTTTGTTGAATTACGGCTCCTTAAGGTGACGTGGGATGCCACGAACAAATGTTATTGATGCTGAATTAGCATGTAAAATACTTCATTGAATCGTGTTTGTGACGCTGAATCGGTTTCAATTTTACTGAGTAATCTTGATACAAGCAAAACTAGACGATTTGCTGAGAACTAGACCTGCTCATAACTCTATAAAATCTATGAAAATATAGAATGAACTGAAATAGTTTTGACAAAAATGGGAGCTAGTCATTTGTGTATCAGAATACTGTTTCCGGTTTTACATTTTAAAACTTCACATAACCCTACAATTTCAGCTTCTTTTTGACCCACGTCAATTTGTATGGTTCTTTTTCCAGTCAAACAATATTTACGCTTTTTTTCTTTGACCTATCAGAATGCTCTTGCTTCAAAAGTAAATTAATAAAAGAGAACCAGACTAAGCATTCATACTTTTACTACTTCACCACAAATGACTCAATTTCAATATACATGAACATTGTCCGTTATGCTTCTCATCCCTTTTCGCTTACTCTCTCTTTCATCCCCCTCAAGATATGACACCGATTACGCAAATGAGATGTGTGTCTTCGTTCTGCGCCATTATTAATGCCTCAGATGTTCCAGAGGGATGTAAGCTCACTGTTTATAGAAGCTTTGAAGTTTAAATGGATTTATTCCTGACTATTAGTTGCACATCGCGACACAACCTACAAAAAGCGCGCCATCACGTTGACAACACAGATCTTACCAATATTGTTTGCATCCATATGTGAAAAGTTTTATCCCCATTCTTTTATGATCAATATACCTTGTAAAATACCAAACTAACTGGGTAACTCCCCACAGAGAAGACTGTATCTTCCATATGAACTTGAATGCCTCATGCAACAGACTGTTATCCGAGAATAATTTATTATTATTACGAGTATGATGGTTTGAAGACAGTAAATAAAATAACATATGCAAAGCAAAACGTAACGACAGAATCTGAAGATTCTGGCATGGTGTATTTGTCAATATTATCTCCTGAAGACAAACAAAAGGCTTTGTTGACCACACGATATGCATTTGTGGGAAGAGGGAATGAACATTTATAACAAACTGTGACCTGTAGTGAAGATAAAGCATCTAATGTCTGATCATGATGCGATTTGGTCATGATACTTGATGGAGTGCCTTTAAAAATCGATACGGCCAACTATAATGTCAATCTTTTAAGAAACTGATTATTTTGAGTAGTTTCTAACACTAAGAAAGGAATATTAAAATTCAAATTGCAAGCCTTATTCGGGACAACTAGCGAATCGTTTTCTTCTGTCGACTTTGTCTTACTGATAAGAGAGAAATCTCAACTCTTAGACGGTAAAACTCTAATCATTGAATTTGTGAAGCAAGATCGGTAAAAGAAGCAAACTTGAAATCCTAGGAATACCTGTTGGATGGCGTTCATAATAGCCAACTTTATTACTTACGAAACTTAAGAAAGAGATAGGCATTACGTCCCTTAAGATCCAACAAGTGAGTTGACTGAAGATTTGTCCCGATATCAAGAGACCATTAAATGTCCGCTACAGTTATTTTGGTGGACGAAATAACCAGAATGGACGTTACAAAACTGTTTGCTTAGTAAAAATGAAAACAATCAACTTTCAATAGATATTTTACAGCCAGGTGCATGAATCATGTCTCAAAGCTCTTGGGACACATAAAAGTCTATAACATAAATTTTCAATGGATTTAACGTACTTCTGCTGAATATTCGCCATAAACCTGCCAAAAACATTGAGCCACATCGAATTCATAGAGATCGAATGGACAAAACATGGTTAGACAAAACATTGTTCATGTCTGCCAATCCACTTATTCTGTTAACGTTTGAAACATCCTGCACAAGGCGCCTCAACTATAACTTCGGAAGAAGCTACGCGCATGTATCAGCACGAATTCTTTTTCATGCTCGTTCATGTTCAGTTCTAAATGAATGTTTTCTTTTAGTGAACTCAAGTACTAAATTGTATTATTGCTCTCATAGGATGTGAGGGATTACTGTTACGTCCAAGTTTTGCTCGTTTTAGTTATTGAAGTACGGACTATCGATCTACTTGCAAATTACGAACCCAAATTAACAACAGAACCAAGCTCCAATTTAGATACCAAATTTATTCGTAATTCACAAATAATCGACCAAATGTCGTTCTAACAACAATAATTATAATAATTACAAAACAAACCTTCAATTTTGTAGGTTCCCGGAGCAAAACTCCCAAATACCAAACCAACGATAAAGAGCGCATCAAAATACCAAACCAAAGGCAAACCAAAATGTCCGAAATAATGATATAAACAAACAAGTTCAAAAGTTAAGTAAAACGATTACATCCAAAAACACAGTAAATTATTAATGTACAATAAAAAGGTTTTAATTTGCCAAATGTCTTCAGTTCTCCCGTAACTATTATGAGGATCATTTTACAACATGATCATATTCTATCGTTATTCATTTTTACTGAACAAGTTTCTTCAATCTCCACTGAGTGAGGTTTGTTTTTAATCCCAGTTCCTGCGAGTTCCAGTTCTTTGCAAATATTCTGACTTTGGTTATTTTGAGGAACAATGGTTGTACTAGAGTAGCAAAGTAATTCCATTCCAGGTGGTTAGCAGATCTACCTGAGATGATCATTCTCTAAACCAGAATGCACGCAGCCACCGAGAACTTAGTTGCTTAGGGAATTAGTTATAAGTTTTCCCAACTAGATCACCGTATTGGATTCCTGTATGGTGACATTATTTTTCATTGAGAGGGTCGCTTGCTTTTGGATGTAGGACGCTTGTTGAAAGTAGGAGGGAACCAAAGTAGACCTGGAGATTTATATAAGGATGAGCTACTTAGAACTTACTTTGGCTTGTGAGACCGAAGATCAACGACGATTTTGCCGCTATTTGCAAACACGACCCAGTAGTCAATGTACTGAGGTATAACACACTGAAAGTAATTAAATTGTGATTTATTGATTAGCATTTTGTAGTAATTATGGAGAATTAGTATGGTCAAGAAATCGCAATTTTTAGTCCATTTATTTTAATGTCTTTGATTTAGGATTTTAAGATCTTCAGGTATAATATATGGCGTCATGTAATATGTTAATCTCAGGTCGAGGTAGATATTTCTAATCGATGAAAATGGTTAACGATAGTAAGTCAAAAAATTATTGTTCTGTTAATGAAAAGCTTTGATAAAGAATTAGTAAGCATTTTGAAGTTTGTAATAAAGAGGGAAACAAAACACATGATTTGTTTTACTTTGTCAAATTTCTTTTTATGGATACTCTTTGAGCGTTTTTTTGAGTATCCCGGGCTTTGGTGTGGTAGTTTAGTAAGTTTCTTTTTCGTCGTTATGAAAGTGGATTTTACTTCACTTAATATCGTGTATTTGACATACGACGATTTACATAAATGTTAATTCAGGCTCCTTGATTAGTTATAGCATTGAGCCAGATTATTTTGTTTAGTTACTACATTTTTTGAATTGAGTAGTATATAAGTAATGTGAATTATTTTATCTCTCCTTCACAGTTCATGAGGAAAGTATTCCATTTTTCCTTAAGTCCTGTTTATTATGAACTCTAAACGATCGTCTAGTTTTCATACGTAACTAGAGTCATGTATGTAACCTTAATGTTTTCCAACGTATTTCCTTTTTATTCCCTGCTTTTCAAGGGTTCTCTTTGAATATAGATATTGAAATGTTTGTTCATAATTTTTTACACCTTACGGAGGCCATGCTTATCTATAACGTACATCATGGCGCTTTGTTATTTGAAAGTACTTTATATTGTTGGTTTACTGTTTGTTATTATATTGCATAGGTATACACTATAGTGTTCACTAAACTATGTAAAAGTTAAAATTTTTGTTTTTTGTGCCTCATTTGAGACCATGCTTTGCAGCCGGAGTTTTCGTTATCCTCCCTATAGTTGCGTTTACCTCAGTAGTATATTCTTCATTACATGCATTAAAATCACTACTACTGACACATTGAGTATTTTATACTGAGAAGAAAAGACCTTTAGCCTTTCAGATCAACGAATACTTGTTATAACTGCCCAACATACAGATATAATGAGATCTTTTATATACACTGGGTGTTATGCACGTGTATATTTTATGGAACTAATTGTTACAACCATCACATTGGATTGCTTTCTGAGTAGAAAAGAAAGTATTTGGCTTCCCACACTGACAAGCACAGTCACATATGAATTCCCACATAATGATTTATAAACTACTGATGAACAGTAAAATTATTGTAAGTTCAACAGGGTGCCGGAAAAATAAGATTTCTCTGTGTCCAAGATCCCAAAATGTATCAGGAATGACAGCGAATGCAACAGATCGCTAAGACAGTTTAAAAAAGGCCAATTACTGTAAAAGCTTAAGTTACATTCAACTCCATTTTGTTGTGATTAGGGTCACTTTTTGGGTTTCAAAATGTAATGTTAATGTTTCAAAACTATCTTTTATTCATAAACGACATAAGGTTATAAGCTCTATTGTCCAAAATTTACAGGTTTTTTAAACATATCACGGTAAAATATTCACAGTGATAAAATGTTTTTCCTTACAAAACGCTTACTATAATTTAGTGTTTTTATCAGAGTCAACAATATGTTTCAACTAATAAAGTTTGTTGAATTCGTCTAAGTGAACATAAGCTTCCTCTTAGTGGACGATAGTATTAGTTTAATCAAAATATAAAATTTAAATGCGTGACTCGTGTTTTGTACGGTTGTCAAGGTTTTTCCTCATTGAGAAGGAAACGAAAACAAAATTTAGTTAGCTTTTTAATTTAAGTGTTGTCATTTTTTACTTTTGCGAAAATGTTGCATTACTAGAATGTTTTTTGTGTCTGAACTTTCTATATTGACAGTTTTTCAGTCTAAAGCTTTATTGATATCAGGACCCGTCCCAAGTTGGACGACCTAGAAGCACTTGATGGCCGTTTTTACGTATGGGACTGTCCAGAACTGCGCACTTTTAACGGCGAAGCCAGAAATCGAACTCAGAACCCTTGGTATTGCGTAAAAAGCCAAACCTATTAACCATAATATTACTTTGAGATAATATTTTTGACTTCGTAACACTATATGCTGTACTATATTGAAATAAACAAGCAACTATACACTTTTAATTAAGTTGTAGCCGTAAAAAATATTTTATTCAGCGCTTATCTTTTGTTCAAATGGTTTTTTTCGTAGGTGCCTTACTTAGAATTAGCATTCATATAAAAATATATCTGATGATATGTTGCACATGATCGACAGAACAGAGACGTTTTAAAAAACTCCTACATCAGCATTCATCTTTTATGTCAAAACCAAGAGTAATCAAAGAGTTATCCACACCGACGGGTTCAACGATTGCTTGTCAACCCCTTGGGGGATGTGAATATCCCTCCCAAAGGGCTGACTTTGGAAAAAAAGGTATTGTATATCCACATCAAACAGTTCCAACAAAAAGCAGCAATATAAATCAAAACCCAGTATGGATTTCAACCACTTCTCGTCCTGGAGTGAGTGGCTTCAACGCAATGTCTCCAAGAGGGCGGCGTACTCTTTCCCCACCCCAACCTCCACCTCTACCTCCTCCTCCACCTAGTCCGCAACTTGTGCCTTTAAAAGCTCGTTTAGCAAGATCCAAATCAACTGCTACAAGACCAGTAACCACTCGTCCGGATTATTGCCAAAGGCTTCGTAAAGCTAGTGATGGTGGAGCTCCTACTCGCCTTACAAATTCAAGTTCAGTTCGTACAAGATCTACCTCAGAATTGCGATCAAGAATTGAAGCTAAAGATGAACCTTCAGAAATTCATACAGGTAATTTATAATTCGCATAGTTTCATTCGCAAATTTTTCCCGAATTAAGTTTGTGTTATTTTAAGAACACAATTTCATGGTGGATTTAAAGCTATTAGTTTTATGACTGGAAACCCTAGATAAAATATATACTTTTTACCCATTATATTCCATTCAATTAAACTCCCGTAAAAGCTTTCAGTTTACTTAGCTAGATCAAACAAGGGATGGTGGGCCTGTAAAGCTATACGTTAGTTACCAGTTTACTCAAAATTGTTAATTAAGTCCACCAAATTTATCTTGTCTATTCTACTTGTTTGAATAAAAATCTTAACTATTTACAGGAAAATATTTGTACATGAAACAATTTAAAATGGGCGTATCAGGTTAAGTTTAACCAATTATTCGGATTAATTATGATATAATAAGTGACTTGACTATTCATTCTGCGATATATAATAAACTAAATATTCAGTATTCAAGTTGTTTCAATCATTAAAAGTCGCTCACTACCTGAGTAATAAGGGTTTTATTAGATTTACTTTTTCCCTTCTACTTAGTTACGTTATTTACGTGTTAGTAGCCTTCATTCATATCTTAGTCAGATTGTAGTTCTTGTCATAAAACCTTCATTGACACACAAGTACTGAAGATATAAATCAATAAAATTGGGTCTATGTCTATATATTGAGATGTTGAGTACTCTGGTTGAAGGCTGATATGATTATCGGTTATTCCTATCTATATTATTGACACCTTTATGGAGTTACAATTTTAGATACTTCTATGCTGAAACTTGAATGTTTGCTGATTGTGAATAGGGTTTCAAAGAATATTGCAGTGAAATAAACAGATTTCAAGTTGACTATTCTACATTTATAATTAACGAAATTATTGTTTTCCCACAAAAATAATATGCTACGCAGATTTATTATACATGAGTGAAACGCGTAAATGTTTTATTATTTGTTATAGTTGTACTTAGATAATTACCATTTTCATTAACGAAAGTTCTTAATTTCTCCTATTAAATTATGTTGGGTCCATTTATATCATAATTATCGCGATTGAGAGATATTTTAATAATTGTTTTATGCTATCTTTTACTCCAAATGACACATTCAATAGGTATTTTAATTGGCAACAAAAATGACAGAACATAAGTTCATCAATGAGTATTTATTCTCATCAGGTTCTACTCACTAGATTATTGTGCACTATCCTTAACTAAAATAGTCTTCTTATGGTTTACATCTGATACAATGAATTTGCATGAACATATTATTTTTACTGTCATATTTTGGAAAATGTCGATAAGTGTCTAGTCAAACGGTACAGACTATTTTTATCTAATCAATTTCGTTTAAAATGTTTAAATAAGAGTCAAAAAGCTTTACTCTGTAACTGTTAAAAATGTATTTTAAATATGCTTTTCTGAAATTTAATTATTTTAGGGAGTGTGGAATCAAGTGAGGAAAAACCAAGTGTATCGACAGTTAACCCGAGTGCTTTCCTTCCTATTGCTCATCCTACTGAACGTAGTCCTGTTTATGTCTGCCTTGCCAATGTTGCCTTTTTAAGTTTATCACTATTGGTTACTAGTATATTTTCTATTGTCTTTCTACCATTTTGCCTGATTGCTTGCCTTGTAAGACGTACTGGCATCTGGATTGCTAATGTCATCCAATATACCACATGTTGTCAATGCGGAGGATTTCTTATTTCTAATAATACGAATCCTATAATTGAATCAATAATGTCACGTTTGTCAGTCAGCTTGAATTCCAATAAAAGATGTCATTGTTTTACTGATAAACAATTAGAAAATCGTTATAGCAACTCATTGAAAGCTCTTTCATCTGCTGAACTTCGATGGCTTCCAGCTCTTGAATATAAATATGAACTTGATTGGAATGGAACTAACTGTGCTACTTTGTATTGTTCAGGTTATTCACCTACAGTGATTATATGCTTGAGATTTGGTGCACCGGGATTAAAATTAGTACGCTTGCGTGAGTTGATCAGTAACCGTTTACTCTCTCGGCCTTTTGATTGTTCATCAGTTGCTTCATCTCCAAGGGGTTCTTGTTTAACAGACAAAGGATGTTCGGATACTAGCAAAAGACGCTGTGAAAGTTCATATATCCCACCTTCGGATGCTAGATCGCGCTTGACACAATGTCTAACATATATATCAACTGGATATGCATGGAGAGAATGTATGGCATTTCAACTTGAAGAACATGTAGTCCGATTGTCTTCTATTCAGACAAAATCAGAAATTAATTCATCACGATCATATGGATCAAAGTGGGAAGATAAGCACTCGGCAAACCCAAAGATGGTTAACTTGGAAGTGCTTCTTAATGAACTGAGTAGTCTACCTTTGAGACTTGATCGGCCACTTTGGAAGGCTCATTTGATGGAACACTTCTATGAGGTGGGATAATCATTATATTTTAAAAATGCATTCGTAAAATTCATTTTTAATGCTTAACAGTTTTAAAATGTATTTTGTTGCAAATGAATTGTTTGCAGAATATTTAAAGAATGGAGTATCATTTGAAATCGATAATTATTATTAAATAGCTCTATTTATCAAAAAAAATTACAAGTTTCATGTAGCGTATAAATATTGTAGTATTTATTTGGAAATATACTTGGAATTTTCCTTATTTTCTGAAATAAAAAATCATTTAAAATGTTTTCAGTCAAAGTAATTGACATAAATATACTTATAGATAATTAAGAGAAGGTGCGAGTGGTTTAATCTGATCATCTTTAATTTACTTTTTATAAATCTATATATCTGGGTTGCTTCCAACACGTAAGTAAGAACCAACTATTGTAATAGTTATGCAAAATTCAGTAAATATGATGTTTGTATTTATTTACTTGTTGAATTCACTCATTAAAATGATCTCTGGGATCACACCGGTGCATTTATTAGCCAAAAATTACTAAAACTATTTATTATCACTATCATTATCGTCAGAAATTCAGGATTAGTTAACTATAGGGAGATGCCAATATCCCCTTTAGTTTGATATTTAATCGGGTCTGTTTTATTAATGGCTGACTAAATGATCTCATAAATACCAAATTCAGAAAACAATACATCATGTTGTATAGTGCTTCACTAGTATAACAATGTGTGAAGGTTTGTGTAGTTTGTGTTATATTTTTGTGTAGATTTTGTAAGACAGTGTCCTAAGAATAAGTACCTCAAATGAGCAAAATAGTCAGTTAGAAACGCAAAATCAAAATTGTATTATGCTGTAACATAGTGTAGTAATGTTTCATCAAATTTTAGATTTTACCAAGAACCTGAAACGGGTGCAATAAACTGAAATTCATGTTATCTCTGGTATTCCGATAAATTTGTGTTATTTTCACAATCAGTTTGCTTGTGTATATTTCTTCAAAACAATCGCTTGTAAATTTATCGGGTTATAACACTACATTTAATTACAATTTCTTTAATGTCCATCTGCATAAACGTATATAATATATTTAGGTGAGTGTGTTAAGTTTGAAGGAACGATTGTGTTAATCAGTGAAATTTTTTTTCGGTCACTTCGAACTTTAAACAAGTATTCTTGGTGATTTGCATAATCTGTGGTGTGATTCAGTTGTGGTATACCCTATTAACGGCTGACAAAATCTACTATGCAAATGAAGAGTCTGAAATAAGTGGGAAGGTTTAGTTGCTAAAACCGAATCAGTTAATGTAGGGAAGTTATATTTGTGTATAAATTTGTTCTCACTGATTTAAGTTACAATAGTTTGCCTATGACCCTATCAGATACACGATCCAATTGCTTTAGTAGCGCGATTCCATTGAATTTATCACTTTGGCCTTAAGATACCAAGTGGTATATCTGACTTCTACATGATGTAATGTATCTAAACCCCTTTGGCCTATTACTTCTCTTTTGTGAGTACTTTTGACATTCAAATGAAGTGAGGAAATGGCATTACCTCTTCGTAAAAAATACGTGCCACTAATGGTATGCTTTAATTCTAGTGAAGGGGATTTCTTAATAGTTCTTTTTAACTTCTGATTCTCATGTCAGTTTCGAACTGCTGTTTATCAATGCAATCATTAGCGTTCAAAGACATACGACCGGAGTTGAAATAAATTTTAACTATAACATAGACTAAATTTCTTGATAAGAATTTTAATAATTTGCCGAGTTCGTGTTAGTCATCTTAAAATTGTTGATGAGTATAATGCACTAAGATTTTATTCACTTATGATTGTGAAAGCGATTTTGTATTTGTATAATCGGCAGGATCGGTAATATTTCCTGTAAGTTATGATATTTCTTATTTTCAGACTCCCAGAAATGTTCTGTTAAATCAGATTATCAAAGTAACCGAAAGCAAATTATAGTGAGAGAAATCCGCTCATTTTCAATCTCTTAATTTGTTTCAGGCTCCTTACTCTTCGGTATTTCATGTGAACTAATTAACATATTCATATTTTTTTAAAGCAAATGCAAAAATGTTTAAAGAATAACTAGTGATTGATCTATGATTGTCTGAACTACAAACTTGACTCTGATTTATTCTGTCTTAATTAGTTTACACTACTTGGGTTGATGATTTTGAAATGAAATCCTTTAAATTCTGTGGCAATTAATAATTTTTAATAGTTTTTTAATCGTGCGAGTATAAATTAAGCAGCGTTTTCAAAACAGCTCCCTTGATAAGTTTAAATAATACAAAGATAGGATAAAGTTTATCAAAACTGTGTAATGTATCGGCATTTTTTTTAAAAACTAAGCGATGTTTATGCTTGCTTCATCTTATATTTAAAATGGTGTTTTTTTAAATCTATCAAATATGAAGAATTGACATGTGTGTAATATGAATATATACGTTCAAATTTTGGTATTTAAATCATTTAGATCTTCTTAGTGGGGAGATATTATATTGAATTCTGCAAGAAGCTTACTGTTTTTAAATAGTTTCAGATATCTCATTCCTATTAGGTTCCAGAAAGCAGATGAGCTGAATTGAAGTCATTTTAACAACTACACAATAATACTAAATAAATAAATTTGTTATCGACTGAGGACAATGGTGTACGGTAGCGCAACTTCGTGGATTGGTTGAAGTTAGACATTAACACCGTTGGATGCCGGCTCAGTGGTCTAATGGTTAAGTGCTCGCGCGCGAGGCCAGTAGGTCCTGGGTTCGAGCCCCGGGTGGTGCGGGGTCGTGGATGCGCACTGCTGAGGAGTCCCATACTAGGACGAAACGGCCGTCCAGTGCTTCCAGGTTTTCAATGGTGGTCTAGCTTCAACTGACTCATGATTTCAACCTGTAAATAAATTTGTGTTGAATAGTGAATCTGTAAATTAAAAACACTAATAATATTACGATTAAAGTCTTAATATTAGTTTATACTAACTTAACGAAAACAAAAATATCCTTATATAAGGAAAAGATACCTGTTTTTAATTTTAATACATTGTGATTAAAATAGTACTGTTTTTAGTTGAAAATTGGTAGGTCGTTCTATCAACATCATTTTATTTTCCTTGCATAGAATATATATATATATATATATATACAACAGTAGTTTGTATTGCATTGTCCTATTTTATGTTGCAATGTATATATTTAGATATATAATGGTGAAATTTTCACAGCTGTTCAGAATACGTAAATTGTCCATTAGATGAACGATTGAATTGTAGATGAATTTTAATTTTGTTTTTAAAAAAACTAGAAGTAAAACAGGAGAGAATGCCCGCTGTGTTGTTTTATGTTTTACTTCTAAAGAAGGGGTAAAGAAATTTTTAACCTTCATAAACTGATTATAAAATTTTGAAAGGAATGTGTGTTTGCACTAGCACTGTAGTGAATTCCTCCACTTGAAATCATGTGATCAGCTCCCAAAATGCATCACATGCATATATATATGTGTATTGTCCAAGATCTGTAAATTAAGATTTTCAGGCAACTATTCTTCTTGTCTTATTTATTATTATAACTTTTTTTGGCTATAAAAGTATGAAGTGGATTTATTATGTAACTGCCTACTAGTCTACGTGTTGTTGTTACTTAGGTTAGTGATAGTTGCGACATAGCTATTGTTGCGTTGCGGGGATTCACTAACTTCACATTTCCTTTTTTTTTCAAAATTATGTTTATACGTATGTAGTTGATTAAAAAAAGAGAACAGCAGTTTCTATTTGTTTTAATCTTGATTTTTTTGTTAACAGATAGTAAATAATACAATTATCATCATAATATCTAACAGAAAATGACTTTATTTAGTTTGAATCACATGTTTATAACTGACAATAATGTTTAGCATTTTAAGAAGCTTTGAACAATTATTGTAATCCTAATGATGAATTTTAAATATTCAACGCGTTTTTTTGGTAATCCACGCTCTTCATTGACAACTATTGACAATTTATGTCATTCATATTACCAGTGGCTAGCTATCTAACCTTAACTCTGGTAATTATTACTTCTAGTATGTTTAAATGTTATAAACTATTTATTAATAAATATCAATAAGTTATAAGATATAAAGTACATTACTTTACAAATCTTTTTTAAAAAATTGTTTATCATTAATTGAAGAAATTTATGAAAATTTCGAGGAATTACATCACTTGTGACTAGCAGTGGACGCGTATACTGCACACCAATTTACTATGTTTTGGTTCATAGCTTTGGAATACGTTTTTTCATAAACAGAGGATATTCCTAAGCTATTATCTTCTAATCGTAGATACTTTTGAAGCATTTGTGGCGTATATTGAGGCTAAAGAGTCGACAGTGATGAGCTTACACACCAGTAGTAGGTAAAGATGCCAAATAGGTTGATGGGTCAGTGAATCTTCGTCGATGAAGGTGTTTTGGACTTTTATTACGTGTCCTCAACCACCTCGTACCTCAGCGCATTAGGATTTTTGGTGTAGGAGTATGTTGCAATAAAACAAGTGCTGCTAAGTTAACATGTAGCATTGGTTTACGAATTCAATGACTGTTGAATGGGACCGTGTTGGAAGGTGCAAGTTATCTGATTAGAATCCTCATGAATTTCATGAGAAGTGGTTAGATGCTTTGAATGATATGGCTCAGAATCACTTACAATGGCACTGGCGCATTCACTTTATGTCTCCGCGTAGATCATAAATTTCTAAATTACCTTATAAATTTGATTTTTATCCCACTGATCTATATTTTCTTCTTGAACCGCACTTTCGATGCCGATGATGCCGTTACTACTTCTAATCGTCTGGTATCGCGTTGTAATGATGTGGTGTGATAAACTTATCCCATGCACGTATGCTGGAAGTCCCACCTTGCTTCTAATTGAATCAGTATCTGAATAGACTTTACGTCCCATTTTTCGTAATCGTTTCAGATCGTCGTTAATTATTTTTCCACTTGGAAATGTAAACTAATACT